ACATTAAGCACAGGACACAAACTTCTTAGTATACCCATATAGATATCAGCCTGAACAATTTTTATATATATAAAAAAGAAAATCAAAATTATTCATGGTAATACTTGCTAACACAGACAGCCACATAATAATCATAAACGCTATGGGTCGACACAAAGCACAAGCCGATCCATAGCCATAGCAACCACGGACACCAGCCACATCAAACCCAAATGAGAAATTAAACACCAAAAAATCATATGAATCCCTGAATTTAAGTGTCAGAAAAGCATCTAAATGATTATCATAATAGATAAAATGCTGTGATAGAACAGAATAAAAAGAATCTGCCAGTGTTTCACCAATCCAGGAAAACATCTTAGTGATAAATTGATGCACAAATCTTCAGGCTAGGACAACAAGGTGGTGACTCATAAATCAAATCAAATTTACCATACCTGGTCTCATTATCAAAGCCAGAACGTGCAGCAATATAGAAGGCATAAGAGTAAATCCATATATCGCTATGGATTGCAATATGAGCAATCCAGTCCTTCAATTTCATCTCATCTTTGGCGAAGTTAACCCCTAAGGATGGTTCAGGAAATTCGTGGGGAACAACAGGAGCTTCCTTTACTTCCCAAGTCTCATTAGGATACCCATAAAGACACATGTAGGGTTTTTCTGCAAAATAATCATATTACCAGGAATCATATTCAGTACTGTTCATGATAAATAATAGACGATTTATTTGGAGGTCATAGGACTTCACTTAGTTTTTTATACTGGCAAACAAGAACTACCAGCTGACCCTTATAAACATGGTAATCATATAAATTACAGTAAAATAACTCTCAGAGACCTCGGGAAAATTCAATGTTGCACCAGATTCCAATACAATTTAAAACTGCAAAAATTAGAAACACAGATCCACTAGAAAGAAGTTAGAACATCCTTAAATCAAATCAAAATGCTCATTTCTTCTTAATATTAAACAAGTTCAGGTGTTCAGATGCCTCCACAAAGCGCCTACACTGTTGACTTAAAAAGTTATCCATTTCAACTTAACAGTATCGAGTTTGTGACTAGCGAACGTCAATCAACAGCCAAAACTCCAAGAATTAATAGAAGATAAGTAGAGGGATATGCACAAGGAGGAAAAATCCTAAGCAAAGAGAAGCAGACATAGAGATGGAGGGCTGACTCACCTGGATCGCACTGCTCATAGAACTTAATAAAATCTGCAACATCACCATCAAGAACAAAACACACGTTAACAGAAAAGCAGCAAGAACTGGGAAAGGGATCAAGAACAACAAGGGCTGCTAAAACTTCCAAGAAAACAGAGAGGAAAGAAAGACCAGTGGTGAGAGCCTTGATCAAGCCGGCTCTTCTGCCCAGGAAGTCCCGGAAGAGCATATCGATTGTCCAAGAAGTGATAGGTCTCTCATTCAGGTCCATTGGCGCGCGCTGCATTAAACGATGGGAAGACGAGTCGGGGTCCCCAATGGCAGATTCGAGTGGGGAATTCAACGTAGAAATGAGGAAGGAGGGTAACTTTCGGCGAGGAAGATTAGGGGTTAAGGATAGGGTTCGACGAGAGAGGAGGAGAAGAAGAGGGAGAAAATGGCGGAGGAATGATCTGAGATGGGATTGGCTCGCCGCTTCCGAGTTTGATGATTTCAGGGTGGGGTTATGTCACCAGGACGTAGCCGTGTGACATCTACAGTTGGGTAAACGACTGTTGTCCTGGTGAAACTATGACTTCACATGGGTCGGACCGCCAGAAAAGTTTCTCGGGTGGCGTCGGCCATTACCATGGGGCCTCGAGGTCTCAAGTTTGAAAACACGCTTACTTTATAAATAAAGATATGTCAACTAATTTGGGGATCGATGCAACCTCGTTTGACGTCTGGATCACTCTAATGTGATCTGAACTCGTAAAATTATTTGAGATGTTTTAGAGGTGGAAATATCATATTCTTGATGTATGAAAGATTAACATGATCCTTCTAACACTTAAGTTAGTAAATGTGAGTTCGAATCATTTCAAAAATAGAATCCTTTCTCTTGTTTGAAATATATTTTTATATTTTAAATGATGAGAATGATGTTTGGAATTGACTTTCTCGTCATAAAGGATGAGAAAGAAGTTTGTAATTGTCTTTCTTATCATAATGAATGATAAGGAAGCTTGTTTCTATTTGCTTTGAATCTTCGTTCACATAGATGGGTGAAGGATGATTTAGATCCCATGTGGCGACTATGTATAATTAACAATAGATTTTCTATCATTTGTCCTCCTGCCCCCTGAAAGCGTGCTTCAAGGCTCTTGTGAAAATGGGTTCAAAGTGCATCGTTTAGTTCATGGGAGCATTTAGGATCTCGTCTTGTGAGTTAGATTTTTTCGACTCAAGTGTCTCGGGTACACTTTAGCATATACCTCTATCGTGATAGATTTCTTTGCACATGCGTCAAGTTTTCTTAACTCGCATATCTCAAAAACATTAGTTCTGTGTTTCTATTGTAGTAGATTTCTCTTGGCACGAGTTGAATTTTTCAACATACATATCTCATGTATATTTCTCATTGTGTCTCTATCGTGATGAATTTCTCTTGGCACGAGTTGGGTTTCGTAACTCACACGCTTTGGGCATATTAGGACCGTAATGGTACTAAGAGAGGATGGGTGAATTAGTGCTTTTGTAAAGTTATATTTTTAAAATTTCATTTGACAAAAATCGATATCGAAAGTGTGCTTAACTTAGAGTATGAGTAAGTGTAATAAGTAATTAAATCATAAAACAATAGCAATGAAGAGCATAAAGGAAATGCACATCGAATTTATAGTGGTTTGATCATCATGACCTATATCCACTCCAGATTCCTCATCCCTTGAGGCCACCGACATTCATTAACAATCTTCTTTCAATGCGCGAACACCAACCACTTTTGTTACAACTCTTTCTTATTTTTATAAGTTTAGAAGAGAACATTTACAAGTCTCACATATCTCTTGGAATGAGCCCTAAACTTTAAAGAGGAGGAGGGAAATACTTAACACTTTTCAAGAGTTTACAACTTAGAATCACCAGCCTTTTGTTCACTTTTCTTGCTATATCAAGCAAGAATGAGTGGGGTATTTATAGGCCCCAAATGACTTTAAAAATGGAGCTAAAAAGTCTCATCCTCGGGTTTTCGAGGTCTTGACGGTACCACCGCTTGTAGCACTAACCATTGGTAATACCACCGCCCAAAGTACCACTTGACAACTTAGAAAACCGTGTACTGGCAGTACTACTGCCAATCTGGGTGGCACCTTTTAGGATCGAAATGACACTAAGAGGAGGGGGGGGGGGTGTTTGAATTAGTGCTATCGTAAAAACCTCGATTTTGAAAACTTCGTTCGATCAAACATATATCGGAAATGCATTTAACTTCAAAACATTCGTAAGAGTAACGAGCAAATAAATCAGTTTATAATATTAATAAAAAGCATAAAGTAAATGCAAGCTAATTTTATAGTATTTCGATCGTCCCGACCTATGTCTACTCCCTATTCCTCTTTCGTCGAGGTCACCGGCTTCCACTAACGATCTTCTTTCAATGAGCGAAGATCAAATACTATATTTACAACTCTTTCTCCTTTTCATAGGCTTAGGAGAGAATATTTATACCTCTCTTTTTCACTAAGACCTCACTTCTCTTTTTGGAAGAAAACTATGAGGAAGTGACTCTATACTTCAAGAGAGTTTACACAATTTTGCTTAAATATTTTTTCCCCTTTCTACTCTATTTCATACTTACCCAAGCAGAAATAATTGGGGTATTTATAGATCATAAATGACTTCAAAAAATAGAGCTAAAAAAGGTCTCATCCTAGGTTTTCGGTGGCGGTGGTACCCCCCGTTGGGTTTTTTTTAAGGAAAAGTACATTTTATACTTTTCTAGCTCACAAGCGATTCCATCGCCTATCCTAGCGGTGCCACCGCCTAACCTAACTTTGGGTCACTAAATAAGTCTCCCAATGGGCCTAAATCAATCCCGGATCAAGCCCTAATAGACCCTTAATTGAGTTAGTATGATTACACCCAAAACTAACTCAATTAGACCTAAACTACTTCGATCTAGATATACATGATTACAAACATGAATCATACGTTGTCTGGCATATCATTGGTTCATTTAGTGCATCGTCCTCTCTTCCAGAGTATTGTCCGATCCATCGGCATGTTGACCTCCCCCAACATCTAATCCTCTTGGTGCGATGTCTGATCCTTTTAGCTCGATGCCCGAACTCATGACACGAAGTCTATCTTCCAGCATATCGATCAATCTTCTGGCCTGACGTCAAATCTTCTAACATGATCTATTTCGGCCCAACATCTGATTCTTCCTACTTCAATTGATTTATCTTTTTTATGATCAAAGGTAGTCCTAAGTCACTCAAACGCTGATTAGATCATAATTTTATTAATTGATTTCATCATCAAAATCCAAGATTCAACAATCTCTTCATTTTTTATGATGACAACCAATTGAAATAAAGTAAACTCAAATTCAAAAAGAGTGATAACCTTTCAATTCAAGTCAAAATAATTTTAATCATAGTTAAAATATCATTATAAATCATAATAACAAATCATTGCATGCATAATTTTAAATTATCAAAATACATCATTACATGCATGATTCTAAAACATAAAATTATCATCACTTTGGGCATAACTTCAAATCATCATTACTTCTCTCTCTTTGTCATCAACAAAAGAAAGAAAGTGTAACTAGAAATTTTTTGAAACATGCAAACTAGTAAGTTAGTAACTTTTACTTCATTTTAGAATATGGAACTAGCAAGTTTTTGAGATGTGAAAGTTAACAATTTTTACTTTTTGAGATGTGTAAGCTAGCACTTTTTACTTCTCTTGAGATGGGCAAATCTAAAGATGGGTAATATAACACTATTTACTTCTATTTTGAGATGTGCAAACTAGCAAATTTTATTTCTCTTTGAAATGTGTAAGCTAGCAATTTTGCTTCTTTTTGAGATGTGCAAGCTAACAAGTTTTGCTTCTTTTTGAAATATACAAGCTAGTAATTCTGCTTCTGTTTGGAGATATGTAAACAAGCAAGTTTTTCTTCTCTTTGAAATATGCAAGCTAGTAATTTTTTCTCCCATTTTATTATTATCAAAAAGAAGAGAAGGATTCAATGGTAAAAAAAAAATTACATAAATGTTCCAATCATCATATGAAAGATGAAAAATCAATTTAGTAATGGGGTGTACAATTCATGAACATAAATAAGTCATATGAAAATCATGATATGAAAGATATTAATATAAAAGATCATGAAAGATTTAGTAAATACCAAAAAACATAATTCATTTTGACAAATCTCCTCTTAAATAACAAAATTTTTTTTTAAGAGATCAAAATAGTAAAATATCTTCAAAAGAAATCTTAAGTTATGAATTCCGAGAAATCAAGAGAAAAATTATTATTCATTTAGATAAATATTCTCTTTAGTAAATATAAAAAAGAATCAATCATATGTGAATAAAAGATCTTAATTCATATAGAATAAATCTCAAGTTATAAATATTGAGAAATCAAGAGAAAAATTATGATCTATTTGGATTAAGTCTCCTCTATAGTAAATAGCAAAAAGAATCATAGGAGATCAAATAATAAAATATCTCGATTCATGCATATGAAATCTCAAGTCATCAAGATAATAATTTAGATAAAACCCATTCAAATTCAATTTATCAAATCATCAAAATTACTTTCTTAGTTCAAGAGATTCATAAAAAATAACATAAATAGATTCATAAATATCTTATTGAAAACTCAATAAGATAGAGATTGAGAAATTTTTAAGAAAAAATGCATTCCCTTTTTTTTGTTTCAATTTATGCAATTAATTTCATACAAGCATACTTAAGTTTTTTATACCAAAACCATACATCATTGTTTAAAACTGAAAAATAAGTTTCATCATGACAATCATCAAGATCAAATAATAAAACATCTTCAATCAAAAGATTTGTTACTAATAATTCTAATTCTAATGATCTTTCCTTTATTATTGTTGTTTCGGCTAGTGAGCTTTATGAAGTATTTTGGATCTCTGATCAGATGTCTTAGATCTCCACTATCAAGATATTATCTTTTGCTCTTAGCTTTCGATTGTAAAGATGTTTACAATAAAGATGGATTTGTTCTAGGCACCTATTTAACTTTAGGTCCCTTATGATTAGATCTACCTATCTTAACTTTTGGCATAAAGTCATTTATGATTCCTGTAGGAACCCAAACTAATTTATGCGAGTCATACTTTTTAAATGAATATTCATAAGTATAATAACCACATCTATCACAAAAAATACACTTAATCTTAGGGGGAACATGTAATGTTAGTCTTTTAACAAATGTGGTTGGCTTTTGTTAAGTGTTACTTATAAAGTCGATTCCTTTCTTTCTATAAACATGACCCTTATTAGTAAGAATCATGTTAATTGATGTGCTACCAATTTTAAAATTTTTTAATGTTTATTGTAATGCCATATTTTCCTTTTTGACTAAGTCTAACTCTTCATATTTAGTACAAGAGGTTAATATATAATTATCATGCTCATTTTTTAAATTTTCAACTTTACTAAAGAGAGAAGCATGATCTTTGTTTAGCAATTTATAATTTTTGCCAACAAACTTAAATTCATCATACAAATCATTGAATGCATCAGTTAATTCATTGTAAGGTAAAGACA